TGTGCAGTGACTTGGTTTACAGGGACATTTGTCACCTTTTGATGGGTCCCGTGGGGCATCACCCAGCTCATGCCAATGCCTGTGCCCAGATCTGCCTCTGGCTGTGCCCACAGCAGCCTCAGGCTCTGGAGCAGCCTCTCCAGCTCGGATTTTTCTCTCCAGCCCGGATTTTTCTCTCCAGCCTGGATTTTTCTCTCCACCCTGGCAGCTGGCTCCATGCTGGGTTTTTGCTCACGCTTCTGAGCTCGGGAAGCAAAGTGTTATCAAGTGCTTCTCAAGTGGTGGTGGCCCTCGAGCTGAGAACCAAAGCACTTCAGCAGCCCTTTGTTGCCTTGCTTGGAGCTGTCTGGCTCTTCTCAAAGGACTGACAGTTTGCAGATGCTGTTTGTTCAATAAAAAGGAGTAACCTCGTCTCCAGCTTCACAAAAACTGCTGATTTCTCCTTGCTTTCAGAATCTGGGTGCTCTGTCACCACAAAAACAGAGAGGTTGAGGGTTTGAATCAAGGCTTGAGGTTTGGCTCAAGGCTTGGCGTTTTGGGTTAAGATTTGGGGAGATCCCTACTCGTTGTAATCCCTGTTTCTGCTTCTCCATTTAGTGCTTGCACTGACAGCTCCAGGCTGAGTCCCTTTGAGCAGCTGCAATTCCCTGAGGGAGCAGTGAAACACCCGGCAGGAGACACCTCCATTGCCCAGGACATTGATTTTTGTCCTCAGAATGACCTGAAGGCAGCACATCACCCACCCCTGGTGCTGAAACCCTCATCCTAATTCAGAGATTTTAGTGCCTGATATTCAATATTCTGAGGTTTTAAAAAAGCCTGAAGGGCAGTGGAATTCCAGGTGGTTCAGGCTCTGCAGGTGTTTGGCAGTGATTTGTCAGGACACTCCCACAGCAGCTCTTTTAGAAATGCTGCTCTGTGGACAGAGACAACAAATCCCACATGGGTGAAGTGGCTTTGGCTGAATCTGGGGTTGATTTAGCCCTAAATCCTGCCCTCCTTTCTCTCCTTCACCTGTGCCCTGCCTGTCAAGCAATTCTCCTTCTTGATAAAGCTTTGCAGCCCTGAGATAAAGGGCAAATCCTTTTTTGTTTTTGATGCAGCTCAGCCACAACAGATTGTAGATTTTAAAAGTTTACATGGGTTAAAAAGCAGTGTTGCTAGGAGGTGTCAATGCTGCTAAAGGACTGATTCTGCCTGGGAAAGGGGAGTAAAAAATGTGTATTTCATGATTGGCTTGTCACAAATATTCAAATGAATATTAT